CAGGGCTACATGGACAAAGTGTTCACTCTTTATTAGTGACACAACAGTAAATCCAAGCACTTTCAACCCTGAAGCGGCAAAGTCTTGTTATTATACAGACATGATTCAGAACATGGTAGGTGACCAGCAGTTCATTGGGGGTTATTTTATGGCCAGTGATTTGCTGAGGTACTCACCACAAAGTAGTAGTACTTAGACGACTTGGCCATGAACTCGGGGCGACACTCTCCAACACACACTTGGATATTTCCAGCAAATTGGCTTTTTTCTGCTTTTCCCATTTCGCACACAATCCTGCAAAACACACACATATGCAATTAGTCGTCCAGAACAGTTCCACAATAATAAGTAAACCATTTCTGAACCTTTACACGAGAGACTTTAATGTCTGTCCCTGCCATAATAATATATGCATGAGATAGGTTAATATGAACGAGTTAATCTGCCTCCTCATTCCTTGACAGGTGTCAAACTCTCTCATGCACCACAGTAAGAGGATTATCACAGCGTCCAAATAATAATAATAATAATAAACTTGTGCTGCAGCAACCTGCAGCAGAGAAACTCAGAATAAAAGAGAGGGTTTTTCAGGTCAGGACAATAACACTGGAGAATTTTTCATGCTGTCAGCAGGGCTTTCTCAAATGCTTGCCAAATAACGCATAATTATCTTTTGCTGTCCTGACCTCGGATTAAAAGTTTCTTTAATGCTTTCTCTGTGTTTACTGCCAATCCATATTAGGCACTTTTAAAAGACACAGGGTTCTTGGCAACATTTATTAGGCCTGCATTATGCTAACTCGGGCTGCGTCTGTAAAGGACAACTGTTTAGAGACTAAAAACAAATCTATTAAGGCGATTCAAGGGAGATGACATCATTTAGCCATTAAATTCAGGTTAAAAATATGCCATTATGACAAAACGACTAAGAAATGTCAAATCTGGCCCGGTACTATAGTAAACCCTGAATGCTCTACAAACAAAAACTTTCTGAATTTAAACACTTACTGTTCTGCTGGGATATATCCCTCGGGTATTGGTGTACATTCCACATCTGCAACCTTCACATGGTCCTTAATCTCACTGAACTCCAGTCCCAGGTTCTCGCCACGAATAGTCACCAGTGTTCCACCTTCACGCGGTCCTCGAAGCGGAGTGATCTGTAGACAAGTCGCCACAGAGACATTCCCATCATTCCCATTGAATAAGAAACAACATGGAGAGCTCCCACACCCCCCGGCATCTCCGTCGTTGGCAGGAAGTGGAGAATGACTCGGCAACCGATTCCTTCATGCACCTGCAGGAGTCAGTGATTGCAAGACGGTGTGAGGGGCGGGCGACAGCGAGAGAAGCTGTGAGTGATTTGGTTCAGTGGGATAATTGGGCCGCTTTCTGTCAGAGCAGCAAAGCCTGCGTGCTTATGGTGAATAATGATCAGCCGCACAGCCAGCTGAGCCAGCCGAGCCCTGCCTATAGCAAAAACAAAGCCATGCTAATTTATAAACACAGAGTCTGCATCTGGGAAGAAATATGCTGACACCAGCATGTAAAATCATATGCTGCTAAGATTGGAATATAAACACGGGCGTGCACGAGGATGCTTATTTTCATCTGTGCATGTCAGGCGATCAAACACCTTTTATTCTTTGCTCCTAGGGATGCTAAGCAGTACCAACTCTGGCTGATTAGAGTTAACGTATCTAATGTACTCGCACGGTGCTATCTCTAGCATCTTCATGCTTTCGCTGGTTATACCATTAACACAAGAAACACTTGGCTGCCGTTTCATTAAACACTGTTAAAGGAAGGCATTTATGGTGCATTAAAATGTAGCGAATCACACTTAATTTAATTGGCAATTCATGTGCCACAAAACATGTCTTGAGATGTTAAGACAGAGTCATGTCTGCTCGATGAGGGTATTATTATTAAATTATATGCCATAAGCCAGGTCCATATAGTCATAACAGAACCAGCCATCCAATCAGAAAAAAATATTCTTCCAATTCCACGGTTCTGATCAGTGGGGTTATGACAATTTAAATAAAAAATAACAAATAAAATAAAAACAGCTGTACAATTTATCTGGTAACACTAACCTGCTGAAATGTGTGGGGAAGGAAAGAATGAGGAGTAATGCTAGCATGCAATTCATTCCCACAATGCATTTTTGAATAACTGTACTTGTGAATAACACAGGGCAGTGTTTAGCTGAAACCACACAAGATGAACAGCTCTTCTATTGAGTGACTATTCATCAACACTATAAAAAGAGCCTATCAAACAGTCGTGACCCACGTGTCTGAGTTCGGGCCTCATAAGTGTATTGACAGCTGGGCTATTAGGCCAAATGTAGGACACCCATTCCTCATCTTGGCAAAACGAGGGACCGTTGGATCCCAAAGGGCAATATAGACATGTTAACATCTTGGCTCTGTCATTATTTCCTGCCTGATAATGATCCAACTTTAGGTCAGAGATCTCATTAGCAGCTTGGTAGAGAGGTAATTTCCCTTTAACCCATCACATGTACTGATCGTAGCAGAGAGATTCAAGTTTTTCACAGGTTCTTTATTGGCTTCAGAGCACTATGGGAATATTGATGATATCTCAAAGGCTCTGACTGTGTGTTTCAATTTTAAACATACTAGGGATGCTCTGATCCGCCTTTTTCGCCTCCGATACCTTGGGTTCGGTATTGGCCGATACCGATACCAGTGAAGTTTTTTTCCCCCATTTAAATAAATGTAGAATTTATATATCTCTGTGTGTGGAACTGATAATCATTCTTTCACAATCTACTAGATACAGATTACTTCATTACAAAGAAAAATAAAAAACAATAAATATGAAAAAATATAGGCCTATGTATATTTATAATCTATGACAAAAATTGATCATAAACTAGGTTAGTGGATAATTCGGCAGCAAAAGTTATTCTAGAAAAATCAGTGCACAATAATTTTAGAAATTCAAACATTTAGTGAAAAAACTATATTTAGTGGGGAACAAATATTACACATTGCTATTTGTATTATAAAATCCATTCATTAAAAACATTCACAACCCTCTACGTCGGAGAGTGAAACTCTGAAGCACTTAGAGTGTTCTGTGAGTGAAAATATATCTGTGCTAAACTTATACTCAGCCTCCAACTCACACACTGGCGAGTAAAATCTGAGAATTGATTAGCCATTGGCTAATATTAGACATCATTTAGTCGCCCAGAGTGAAAATTTAGTCGCATATGCGAGTGATTTACTCGAAATGTAGAGGGTTGATTCATATATATGTGTAAGTATATACTATAAAATTAAAATACATTTCTTTTGAATGTACAGTATATTTTTTAATAAGGCAACAACATATGATGGATACGATAGGACAAAACAAATACAATGCAGCTCAAACTGTTTTTATACAGTCTATGAGCACGAAGCGCTTACAATGTGCGCATCTGGTGTGCAGAATGATGCACTTGAAGCAACATGGTGTCACAGCCTGACGCCGTGCTGCTTCAAGTGCATCATTCTGCACACCGGATGCGCACATTGTAAGCGCTTCGTGTTAAAATATGATGGATACGATAAGGGAAGAGAAATTGATGCGTAGTGTATTATATCTGTGCAAAAGTTATTGAGCCTTTCTTTGAACAGTTTTAAATTTCAGTTATTTGTCCTCACGGTAGCAAGTAACAAAACAACATTAAACTCCGGCAAGAAGATAAAGTCCTTTTTGCAAAATCAGACATGCAGACATGTATCAAGTATAATGGGAACAC